CATAGCAGTACTTTTCTTTTATCATTTGACTGGATCCTTCATTATCAGTGGTCATAAATGGAATATCTTGATAACTGGATAGATCATCATCAAGGATTGCGATTAATCCCTCATCATTTTCTATAACTATATCATCTCGTGTTAGAAAATCAGTCAAGTTTTTTTCGCCAGAATAATGAATCACTTGGCCTTCTATTTTATCTTTTTCAGCCTCTAGGTGAAAAAGGGTGGAGGTGTCGAGGAAGTCTGAAAGCTCAGATTGGGTCATTTTTCGATAAATTTATAGTTATACCAAATCTCAAGGTATATTGTTTGCAGAAAAAAAGTTTAAAATAAATTAATTTACCAAGATTATTAATCAATATACATAAATGGGATTGAAAGAAAAAATACTAACTGGAGATTTTATTTCTGTCTATACATTCTTAGGACTGGAGAAGTATGCAATCGGCCTTGCTATCATCCAGATGAATGTAAAGTTTATAGGAATTCTAGGCAAGTTCCTTGTAAAGAATGCGGTAAATAGACTAATTCCACATACGAATATTGTGATACACATGCAAAAAACATAGATCAAAGGAACACTACCATCAGAAAAAGCTGGCTAAGATGGCTTCAATGCAGGTAATAGTAGGTAATTTAGAGATAAACAAAAATGATACAACTTGATGGATGGGTTATGTCACTAAAAAATCTATCCTAGTTTTTTGGGACGAGCTAAGATGGAAACTAGGATGAAAAAATATAGCTAAATAGTATTTTTAAGTTGAATAAAGAGGAATTCGAATACTTGTTTCAGTTGTTCTACTTGTTTTAGAAAAATTGAGATTTATAGCTTTTTTTACTTTTTTTTCTATAGGCATATTTCAACATATATTAGATATATATACCAAAAGTATATTATAGAAAAGTTTCAAAAATTTTCTAAGAACTTTACTTTTAATTAGAACAACTAGGACAACTAGGACGTAATATAAAAGAAAAAGATAAATCAGAGAAAGAAGCTCTTCTCCCATATCAAAATTTGTCTTAGTTTCCGTTCTAATTCCCAAAATAACTAAGACAACTAGGATGGATTATGCCTTTACATGGCAAATATGGTAACAAATAGGGACGTATATACCATATATTTATTATATTATATCACATGTAAACCATTGGACGTACTTGTGATATTTATGCTAGAAAGTACTGTAAAATGGAACAGTACTATCAGAAAAAGCTAGCTAACTTAGCTTTATCACAGGAACTGGTGGGTAATAAGTATATATAGAAGCATTCTGATCATATCCTAAGGATATAGTTTTCCTGATTTTTTGTCACAAAGAAAAAATTGATGGTAATGCACTTTAGGACACTCTTTATAATGCAAATTGAACTTTTTTACATGTAATACTCGCAAGGATATTACCATGCCCGATATTTACTCTATATTCGATTAAGATAAAATATGATAAAAACATTACGGAAAATGAATATACTTTATAAAATGAATAAGATAAACATTATACTTACTCGTTTTGTAACAATAGTCTAACAACATATCGTAAAATTATGTATTAAATTTTCAGAAAAACCATAAATACTGTTCACTGTTTTTGAATTACGTGATAATAATTTGAACTTCAGGATGTGAAAATGGCATACTTATACTGATGTAATAGTTGGATTGCAAATGGTACACTTCTGGCAATCAAATGGGTCAGGCTAAAGGGCATAATAACTCGGCATCCAAACAAGCATATGGAACTGGTAAACTAATAGAACTATACTAGTGCCTCACTACTTCTATGACGCTACTATGGTACTAACTTGGATCATTCAGATCATGTGCCCAAAAGATCGATCAGAAATTATGCCATAGTACTGATCAAATTTAGACGCAGATTTACATCGAATTTACTGTGTCACTCATCACCTTTTTTACATGATTTCAGCATCTAGAAAGGTAACCAAATAGGTGCAAAATTTTAATATAGAACTAGCATCCAAACTGGCTGGCCTAGCACTGGCAACCAAGAAGGATAGCACAGTAATATGTGCTTGACCGGCAATCAAAAGGCTTAAAAATGGAAAACAAACCACTACCTACTTAGTAACCAATCAACCGTGGAGCTCCACTAGCATAAATTATACTAGAAAGTATTTATTAACACACAACACATAATAAAAAAGGACATATTTAGATTATTTAATCATAGTTATAATTAGATTATTTAATCATATGATCGCAAATAATAAATAGGAAACAGGAAAAGAAATCTGATTTCAAAGGTAAGAAATATAATAAGAAAAATAGATAGGTATAAAAATCACCATAATTAGGTTATTTAATTAGATTATTTAATCATAATTAGATTATTAACTTTAGATTATTTAGTTACATTTAGATTATTTAGTTATACTTAGATTATTTAGTTATACCTAGATTATTTTATTACTAAATAGCCTAATCTAAGCCATTTATGACTAAATAATATAATTATATTATTTAGTCATAAATGGCTATATGCTAATAAGTTAACTTAAAGTCAGAAATAAATTACGTTTAACTTATAATTTTCTAGTATTTTAAGTATATATAATAAAATAATTAACATTTCAAGATAAATTAAAAAATCATTAAAATATATAAATAATGTTTGACTTTTCTACTCTTTTAAAATCAAAAGTATTGTATATTCAAGTATAAGTTATTAATAATCATCTATTAATAAAATATTTTTATTATTTGATTATTTAATTGTTGCAATTTATAAAATTAAAATTTGAAAAACCTTTATTATAGTTTTGTATTTTTATTTTATTAAAGGTTAAAGTGGCTATTATTACTGCAAAAAAAATAGGATTTATGCAATTTAGAAATCATAAATTATATAGATATCATTATATAAATAATTGTTATATGGTTACTTGCAGCCTATTAATCAGTAGAAATATACAAAAAACCAACTTTTACCAAAAACCTATTATGTGTGAAGTATTAAAAGTAAAGAGTTTTATAAAATTAGATTTTATACTTTGTATTATTTTAAATCAAACTTTGAATAAAACATTTTATTAAGCAGCATATAACTAATATGTTATTAAAAAAATATAGCTCAGTTACTTATGAAGAATTTACAAAATTATCTAATTTTTAACTGTTCAATATATCTATCTTTAATAATTTTAATATTTAAATATTATAATGCATTAAAAGCTTAATGAATTAAAAAAAAATTAGAATAATTTGATTTTTAAAAGAAAATCATACAAATAGCATATCATAAAAAATGAATTATTAAATTAATTTATTAAACCTTTTCGCAAAATTTCATAATGGTTTATACTAAAAATTGAGAAATCCTTGTTTAATCTTTACTACTTCTTTAATTACTTAATTAATTATATAAAATTTTACAACTAAGTAAAACAAGTTTATTTAAATCCATATATTATGTTTAGAAATATAGATAAAAGATCAGGAGGGTCAAATATTAAAGGCTAGAGGCGTAGCGAATGATAAAGAAGCAAAAAATAATTTAATGATTTTTGTGATTTCGAGGCCTAATAAAAGTGACCTGGTGACTATGTTGACCAGTGATCTAAGTCATGTTATATGATGATAAAGGTCATTTCGAAAAAGTGAAGTGACCAGATAATATTCTAACACTGTGTTAAAATGGCTAATATCATTGCTCCCAAATGATTTCATGAAAACTTCAGGCGTTAATTTATTTCTTTCGTAAATTTCTTACATGTGTATTTTGGATATGTAATAGAATAATTTGGCATAACCTAAATTCAATTGATTTTTTTGTAAATCACCAGAAATATAAAAAACTTGTTATCTTGTCAGAATCACAAAAAAATTAAAATAAAAAAATAATAAATGTTCTGAATCAAGATGATAAAAGTTACATCTATTTCCTTTTTAAAAAAATTTTCAATTTGGTCTCTCTTATACCAAGTATGAACGAAGTTTTCAAAAATAAAGTTTATCTTCTTTATAACACGGAAATGACCAAAAATCATGTTATCAGTCGAGATAGAAAGAGAGCTCACTCGAGAACTAATTGATCGCTATTTTAAAAAGTTTGAATATTGAAAAATGGTGAGTATTTCACTGAATATATCTGAAGATACGCTGCTATTAGTATGAAATATCTGGGAATGAAAGCTCTTCGTAGCTACAGAAAAAAGACTGTAAACATTCTTCATGATTTTAATAATGATAACGCAATTGCTCATTTTTTATTTTTACATTTTCGTAGAGGTCGTGGTGACAAATAAAAAGATATAGCTGACGTATTTCTAATATTCCATTTTTTATTCAATGTAAAAACTTGAGAAGTAAAACAACAGGTATGCTTTAGAAATTTAATGAATTTTTATATATTTAATGAATATCGCTATGATAATCAGGTAGAACAAATATCATGGGAACTTCTCAAAGGTTAATTTTCTCATAAAGGCTAAAGGTTTTAGATTTAGAAGCTTGGTAAGTGGCTACAGAAAAAAATGACTGTGAACATTCTATTTTTATTATATTTTTCACGTATGCCAAGGAGACAAGAAGATATATATATGCGGGTGCAACAAAGGATCGAAATAAGTAGCACAATGCAAAACTAGAGAAGCAAAAAATAGGTATGTTTTAATGGAATTTAATGAAAATTTTTATATCTAAATAAATATCATTTAAAAAATATCTAAATATCTCAGGACCTGCTGTCATTCGGATGGATGGGATGCTGCTTTCAAGACAAGAAATAATCAAGGTCGACAATCGGTATTGTAGTGGCCTCCTCGAAGGATAGTTTTCAAGTGGAGGCCAAATGTTCTATATTTAGGTTGCTTCAAAAAATGACTGTGAACGCTCTTCTTGAATTTTGATGATTATGATGCAATTAATATTTTTATTTATATATTTCAGAGAGATGAAGATCCCGTATTTTCTTCTAATAGGATATAAAAGACAAGCCAATCTTAGAAATATTAAAAACTGTTGAAACAAGATGGCTCTCATTACAAATGTAATAGGAAATCTATACAAAATGATGGACTCGGTTTTAGCTTCATTAAATGAAGTATAGAAGACAGAAAACTTGATACCAGCACTTTCTCATTTTAAACCTCATTTAAAAGCAGAGATTGAAACTATTTCTACAGATTTTATTGAATGTATCAATATATTACCTACATATGGAATTATTTTACGTAATTACATGGACCGCGAGAAATTTATTTCAAATGATCTTCCAAGATTTGTAAAAGATTATGCTATAGCAATAACCGAAGCATTAAAAGAACGATTTCCGAACTCGGAACTGTTTGATGCATTGAACATTTTTTGATAAGAACTGCTCCCAAAGAAAAGACCAACAAACAAATGACAACATGTGGAGATTATCCACTAATCAATGCATTGCTATAGTAACTTAGTTATCAGCGATTACCCGTGAAGTTACGTTATAATTATCCACCGTGTAATTATTAAATTAACAAATAATATACTTTTTTTATTTAATTATACTGCAAATTTAATGCTGCGCAACTGAATGTACTTAATGACATAAAGAATAAGTAAATCAAAATAAAATAATTATTATTGTCCGAAGCGAAAGCGGAGGACGTTTACGTTCTATGCAAAAGGTAAAGTTAACAGTGGCATTTTTAAAGATTGTTTATATAACTAGGCAACGGGGACCGTTGTGCGTCCGAAGCGAGCGTCACGGTGTCACGTTCCAATTTTTTCGAGCTTGACATTTTTATTTTATTTTGGTGTTTTTTTAGCGATTACACATAACACAAGGAAGGTCAATTGATATAATAAATTTATTTTATTAACTTTTTAATTTTTTGTTAGTAATTATGTAAATAGTGATACAAGAGAGAGAAAATTTAAATTTACTATAAAATACATTTTATGTTTTGTTTACTAATCTAATAATTTAATAAAGTTTTTAAATTTAATTTAATGTTATTAAAATTTTAATTTAGTACTAAAGTTTATTTTAATAATATAATAACATTAATCACGTGTAACATCCATATCCTCAGACACGTGATTTTGGTACACATAATTTCACGCAACTTATCGGAAACGTTGCGCAGCCGTTGGCTGCGTGGCCTGCGGCCGGCTTTCATTGACAGACCTTACCCTCCGAACTTCCTAACAATAACCCTAAACGATTTTCGTCTTAACCCTAATGCTAATGCTACGCCCTAACCCAAATGCCACAGTGTAACATCTATAGTACCCTATGCTCCGATTATAATAGTCCCGGTTACACTAATCACGTGTATAACATCTATAGTGACCGACCAACATTTCGACATTAAGCAAAAATGTTAAATTTCAATCATGCGATAATTAAATTATAAATTAATCGGTCAACCGGTAGCATGACCAACCGTTACCATCCCTACTGTTTGAATATGGTAAACGTTACTTTTTCGTATTTAAATAGTTAAACCCGCTATCTTAAAGTTCAAAAATTTCTGAATAGGAGCAATGAACTTTTGTAATGAAACTTCTAAGGTGTGTGGTTAATCTATTACAAATCAATCAATACGTTAAGATCAATTATCCAATGAATTCTAATATCTTGGAGATTTTTTTTTATCCATGAACGCGCCTAGATAATTAATAACAAAATAATTTAATGGAGTTCTTTTTAATACTATTATAATTTATTAAAAGTGAAAATGTTTTCTTTTTATTTACACCTAAAAACTATTCTATTTGAGAGATGTTTGCAATGTATTTTTTTTTAGTATTTAACGTTGGAAAATAGAATAATTTTGTTCATATTTACATAAAATTTTATCTTTTGAATTGCTACGAAAATGATTATTTTTTATGGTAAATAATGTATTTTTTTTTAAAAAAAAATTATTTTTTTGTTTACTTTAGCGTAAATATAGTAGTTTCTATCTGAATAAAATGATAAATTACAATTACAGATTAAACAAGCGACTTTTAATTTAATGAATGAGCTTAAATTCATAGCAAATTAAATCCTGATCCAGTCTTTTAAAAGAAAATACATGTTTTGATCACATGTAGCTGTGTAAATTATTACATTGATTTGTAGTATTTAAAACAAGATCGATTAATTTACCCGGAACAATATGACGTAATCATGCATAGTTGACGTCAAACATGTGAAATACAAAATAATACAGTATTATGTCTATCCTTATTTTTCAACACTTTTTCCCACTTTACTTTTTTCTAACCATGCCATGCTCAAAGATCTTTTCCGGTGATTTACCGAACTAACATTTTATGTTATAAAATATTTACGAAATGATTTAAAATCACTTTATTCATGTATTTTGATCAATCAATTTTTATGTCGAATGACTATTCCAATAATCTGGGAGAAACCATTTGCATTGAAATGTCTAAATGGAAAGCATTGCGATTTCCTTGGAGTTTACTTTTCATTTTTAGTGAATTAGATAGAAATCAGTTAATAAAATTTGGGGCTAAATTCAAACGTATCGAATGGAATTGCATGCAATTAATTGGCAAATAACCTTGATGCCGATATTACATCATCCCCTTCCACAATCAAAGTTGAACCGGATAATATCACTTTTCTTGATGATATGGAAAGGAAGTGGAAATCGGATATAATGATTTAAGGTTAAAGAAATTTGTTGATATGATTTGTAGCTTTTTATTGA